CGATCGGGACAAACAAACGAGGCGCGATGCGACAGTGTGGGGGTGGTAGGGGCGGGCCCGGCCGGGGAGAGCACTACTGTGGGCCCATAAAGCTGATGAATGCGGCCGCACCTCGTGTTGGACCCGCGGCGCGCGCACTCACACAGCCACACACACACACGCACACACACACACACACACACACACACGGCGCTAGTGAACTGACGACGTGACGGCCACCGGGACAACACTCACTGTCGCTGGCGTTGTCACTTTGGAGCAGCCGTTTGGTTGCGTCCGCGCGTCCGCCCGCGCGGCGTGCCCAGATCGGATCTCGCCCGCCTGCAGCGACGCGGCGACGCGCTTACGTTATTCATCCCGTGAGCAGCTGACTACCATAGGAATTGTTTTGATTCTTTGGTTTGCTGGGAGCTCGAATTTCACATGAACTACTACTGTACAGGCGACTTTTAGTCGAGAGGAACCGGTAAAAGAAGCGGTTACAGATAAGAATGGGTGTGAGGCAGGTGTCATTTTTTTTGCAAAGCGCGCGGGCGGCTCTTTTTTCATGAAATAAATTAAATCGGGCTTGCCACGTCGGCGGACGTCAGGTGGAGCCGCTGGAATTGGCCTGGGGGAGACGGGACGGGGGGCGTGCACGACGACTTAGCAACGGAACGGCGCAGGGTGTGTGCCGTCGCCCTGTCTCTCTCGCACCCGTGAGCGAGGCACGGCGAGGCCCCGTGAGTGCGACAGAGACAGTGGGTCTGCACTGCAGGGTGAGGCCAGGCCAGGCACAGTGGGCCAGAAGACCGGTGGAGGCGACAAAAACTCTAGACGCGTTTTGAGCTCCAGAGTCGCTAAAAAGTACTCGAACCGAACGTGTGACCCCACCAATGGATTCCTCGTTCTGAGAGCAATGCATTGGTGGGGTCACTCGTCCGATTCGAGTCCCATTTAGCGACTCTGGAGCTCAAAACGCGTCCAGAGTTTTGGCCGCCTCCACCGGTCTTCTGGCCCACTGTGCCAGGCCAGGCCAGGCCGGGCGGGGCGGCAGCAGGTGGGACTGGATTGGGATCGGGATTGGCAGCACTGTCGCCGTGCCGCGCATCGCCACGCCGCGCCACTGCGCTGTGTGCACATTATCGCTTTCACGCCCAGCCATTTGTCTTCAGCGTGTCGCCCCACCCTCCCCCTCCCCTCCCCCCGCGCGGCCAGGCCAGGGGCGAGGCCAGGCGACCCGGCAGACACTGCTGCGCGCGGCCGGCCTACCTCGCAGGCGGCCTCCGCTGTGACCGTCCGCTGCGGTGGGCTGAACGAGAAGAAGGAGAAGAAGAAGCGGGGGAAGGAGTGGAGCGAGGAAGATGCGGCAACTTTGGCCAGTAAAGCAGGGCGCTGTCCCGCGAGCCCAATCTGCGAGCCGCGTGGCGTGGCGTGGCGTGGCGCGGCGCGGGGCACTTACGGTGGCGGGCCTTCCTTCATTTCGCCGCCAGACAGGCCGACCGACCAACACACGCTGCGCTGTACAGTGCCGAGCAGCCCGCCGCGTTCCCATGATTCAAGGCAGTCAAAATGGGGCCACGCCAAAATGAGCCCTATTTTCACATCATTTTGACTATCCGTTCATCTTGGGTTGTGCTGCGCGGAGTGCTGCGCGGTGCACTGCTTGCTGCACGAGTCGGAAACTCCGCGGCCAAAGCGGCGGCGCGGTGTTCGTCCAAAGGGCTCCTCGCTCGGCTTCAACCGACTGCACCGCGGCCGGCGCCCACCACCCGCGCCCGTCCGCCCAGGCGGGCTGAGTGTTGTTATTGTTCTGAAAGCGGTATTGCAACGCGCCATATTGCATAGCGTTACGAAGCCTCCTCACTGCAATGGAGCGGAGAAAAAAATGATTGCGAAACAACACAGCACTACTATGGAGTGCTACGCGCTACGCAGTGGCCGGGCCCTGGGTGGAGGGAGGGGGTTGAGGGAAAGCCACCGCAGTGGTGATGCTTAATGGCCGACAGCCCGACTGTGGAACACCGTGTCGGACACGCTCGCACGCACACACACTCACTAACGCTCTCACGCACGCTGAGCGTCGCTCACTCGAGCAGCCGCTTTTTGCGTCTGTGATTTATTGCTTGGCTGGGAGTTATTAAACCTAAACCGTGGGCCAAAGGGGTAGGCAACCCACGTGCCTAGCGTGCTGCCTTTCGCAGAGCAGCAGCGGCAGCAGGGCTTGGCTCGGGACGCTGCGAGGCGACAACACATCTATGAGAAATTGCTGCGTGCGTTACGCCTCAGTGTGCAGCTGGCCTTGGGGCCGCGGCCCGAGCGAGGCCCGAGTGCTTCCGGTGGGAGATGAGACACGACGGGCCTCGCCGAGGGCCTCGCCCAACGCAGCAGGCGGCAGCAGGCCGGGACAGCGGCAGCTCAGCGTCCCGAGGGCCAGAGCTGGTGGACCAGGCCGCCAGCGCCACCAGCGCCGCAGCGAGGCAAAAAGTGTTTCTCGAGCCCCTTCGGAATCATTCCCTGGCCGGGCCGATGGCCCGAGGCACTTATCCCCGCGCGGCCTTTTAAAGTGGACGAAAGGCCGCCTTCGCTTGAGATGGCCGCCTGAAAGAGGAATTCCCCGGCATGCCGACGCCACGCCGACGGCCTTGACGCTTATCCCCAGGACGCCGTCCACGGCCCTGACGAGCGCGCCCAGACAACGCCTTCAGCGTGCTTCAGCGTGCTTCAGCGTGCTTCAGCGCCTTGAGCAGTCCGCATGCAGTCCTGCGGGAGCGCCGCCGGGGCCGCGCTGGCGTTCGCCGAGTGCCCCTGGAGCCAGCGGCCTGGAGTGCCCTGGAGTCAGGTTTCACTGGAACGTGGCTACAACGAGGCGGCGGGTAGGGGAGGGGGCAGAGGCTAACGCTGACCCGGGCCCAGTCTGTTGGGCATTTTTCGCAGCTGATTTACGAGCACCACGCCGTGGTGCCGAGCCGTGCCGCGCCGTGCCGGACAGGGGTAGATACTACACAGTGCAGTGGCCGAGGGCTTGCGCGTGGCTTGCCGAGGGCTGAGGGCGGCGTTTAGCCCCTTCCCCTTCCAACTCACTTATTTTCCTTTGCCGCCCGCGCTGCTCGCGCCGCCGCTTCCGGCCTTCTTCGCGCGCAGTGAAACGCAGTGGCCCCGCGGCCCGCCAGCAGCGCCAGTGTTGCCAACCGCCCTCTTGCCGCCACTAATCCATCAGCCCGCAGCTCATCCGCAGCGCGGCGAACGCGGCGCCGCTGGGGAGCGGCCTGGCAGTGGCCTGCCTGCCCGGCCGTTGTGTTGGCCACCGTGAATGGAGTGGGCTGGGCGCGCTGGGCAGGCAACGACTCTCTTCTCTCTCTCTCTCTCTCTCTCTCTCTGCTGGCACCATTGCCTCGGCTCTCCGCCCTCGATTGCTTTGCTGTCGGACTAATCGCCGGCCAAAACGAAAAGCTACACTTGGTTTCGGCTTCGGCCGACGACCACCACGCCACTCGCTGCCGAACGGTGGCTGGGCTCGCTGACACTCCACCGCTACACTGTTCGTCAGCTGTACCAGAAAATCGCCGAGTCGTTTCCAATGAGCCCTGGAAAGCTCATAGGAAGCCACTCGGGCGAGTCGCTGTGTTTTACTGGCCGCTTTCTTTGTTTCTCTTTCTAATTATTTAACGACCGCCCGGGCATCACTTCCTCATTTTCCTCCATTAATCATCCTGACTGGCAACGCGAATAACATCCTTCCACTTGCTGTTTGTTCGTCCGTCACTACGCCAACCCACCACGCCGACCCATTGTTTTGACGTGTTCAAAATCCCTGGCTCCGGCTGCCCCGGCCGGCTGGGGAATTACAGTCTTGCCACCTGGCGTGCGTTCGGGGCTCTGATGGGCGTGGGCGGCCGGGCGAGAGGAGTGAGAGAGCGAGAGAGAGAGAGAGAGAGAGAGAGAGAGAGAGAGAGAGAGAGAGAGAGAGAGAGGAGAGAGAGAGAGAGAGAGAGAGAGATCGCCGGGGCCGTCCTGCTGGCGGAGCCGGAGCCACAGAGTCCGCCGGGGTGCGATTGTTTGCCTGAGCGGGGCCGCACCGGCCAGACGGAGTCCATCATCTCCAACTCACTGCAGCCTGGCAGCCTGCTTGCCGCCAGATAGTGGCCAGGCAAGCCGAGGCTGGCCGTGGCCTGGGTGCGAGAGAGACAGCCGTCAGCCTAATTGCTGCTGTGGGCCCTGTCTGGCCCTGTCCCGCTTTGCCATTGGCTGGGCTGCCGGTTGCCGCAGGCACAGTGGGTCCGGCCAAATCCTATTTGTGGTGCGCAGGGCGGCAGGGTCGCCCCCGGGGGACCCTCCAGAGGCCCTCCGGGGCCCCGCGCGGCCCTAACCTCGCCCAACGGCGCCGAGCTCCGCTGGGCCCCGCCGGGAAACACGTGGGGCCCAGCGATAAGCGGCCTCGCGAGGGCGCCAGCCGAGCCGTCCGTAAATTGCACGCCTGTGTGTTAGAAATCTCGAGTTCGTATCGGGTAAGCAGCGGTACAAAACTCGTATTGGCGGGTTTCGCAGACAAATTTCACGTTGTACCATCCGGGTTTATCAAGTTAACACTCGACCGAACCTTCCAGCTGTCAACCCAGCGTCCAAAAGCGCCCTGCCTGGCCCTGCCATTCTGAGTGGAACTAACTCTACACCACCTCCGACCTGTCGTCCGTGCTACCGCCAGCCAGCTCGCCGACCGACGCTAGATGGCGGTGGTGGCGCCGCGCAGGGGGCGAGGCGCGCGGCGCTACCCCGCGCCGCAGAGGGGAGGACCGAGCGGCGCGGCGATATCCCGCGCGCGGCTTTTCAGCCTGCAGTGGAGAGGGTAGGCAGTCCCGCAGCACTCGCTGGTTCAACAGGCGAGTATTCTCCCTGCAGCAAGGCGCTCTAGCCAGCCCAGTCATGTCTTTCGGTGCAAGCTGAGGGCTTCATTTCAGTTATCTCTGATTCTTTACAACCTTCTATGAGGAAAAGGGTTTCAAAACAAAACGGTGAATGCCTCAGTTAGATGTTTGTTACAGAACTGTAACTTTATTATTATGAAATTATTGATTACAGTACTATTGATAGAGTATGACAATTAGACTAGATGTAACAAAAAATAGAACAAAATTTGTATTCATTATTCATAAATAAACAAAAAGAAAACATAAGACAACACTTGCTGAGGAAAACAGCAAAAAGAAAATAAAAATTAAAGAGAAGTCTCACTAGGATTTTGGGAAAGGTTCACTCGAATGTTGGTGTGCAATGTTACTGTGGCACTCTCAATCACACCTAGAATCTCGGGGGCAATCTGAGACAGTTGACACAAAGTGTGAAAAAAGTTTAATAAAAGAACAACAAATTAATGCTAGAAAAAAAATTTAAAAACAAATAAATACTGTACCTGCAGACAGTTTCCACTGTCTCTTACTACATCAAGTTTCTGTTGGATTGGTCCAATCTTTCCTCGCCAAGCATGAGGAGAACCACCTTCATCAATAACTTCTAGGGTTCCTGTTGCTAAAATTGGTTTCTCAGACCGGCCAGAAGCAATGTACTAAAAAATATTAATAAATTAATAAGCACAATGAGAGTAATTGGTTGTAGTGACATAGTTACCCTAACCACATGGCCCATTACCTGCATTGTTGCAAAGATGCTATTATCACAAGCATGGATACAAATGACAAACAATTTCCTTGACACTTCCCTCAAAAATGTAAGACGTTGTTGCTGCCGTATTTCATGGAAAAATACTGTGTGTTCGGAGTCAGGTCCAATCCCTATTTCAGAACGATGTGCCTGAATAATTTCAAATTCAACATTAAATTGAGTTTAGGGAGATACACTGCATTAATGTCTTGAGCAACACAGACTCATACTTCTCTAATGTGGGAACTTAATTTCTTGGCAATACATTCCCAAGTGCATCCAATAGCAGGACAAGTTATGTAGGAATATTCACATACTGAGTGGTGGCTTGTTAACTGGGCAGGGGGCAGTACAAGTGGACAACCATGTTTGAGATTAGGACATGGCTTGCGACCCTGATAATAACATTTTAAATGCAAGTTAAAAACAACAAGACAAAATTGATTTTTACTTAATTGTCACAATTAGGTTTGGAGGAGAAAAGTACCTTGGCTGATTGTTGAGGAGGTGGCTCAAGCGATTTCTGTTGAGTGAAGACTGCACTCATCTGTGTATAACTGGGCCCAGCTCGGACAGATTGGCGAGGGGAGCAGCGAACAGGTTGTCGCACTTGCTTGCCAGGATACATTTTACTTGCAGTTTTTTCAAGCTTTATTTCTGTAGACAGTTCATTAACTTCAGAATTTGTTGAGGAGCGTTCATCTGAAACTTTGGCAGCAGACTCACTATGTTCAATTGCCACTTCTGGCACCTCACAATCAATCCCAGTATTAGATTTGTTTTCATTGTCAATATGAAACTTTTGAGATTCCTGAGAATCAAGATTCTCTATTTTATCATTCACAATTGATTCGGTTTCAATAATGGTCTCTATCTTCACTTGACTGCTTTCATTGTCAATATGACTATGATTATCTATTTCATCATTGACAGTTGATTTGCTATCAACATTGGTCTCCATCTTCACTTGATTAATTTTATCATGTATTGACGGCACCTCTCTCAGTCCTTTATCTTCAGAAACCACCAGACACAAAGGCTGAGGGGACCTGACAGGTACCTGACAGTTTGAAGGCTCTGTCTTGCAGTTCTCCAGCACTGATTTACTACAGGACGGAACAACATTGTCTGCAGTATCCTGATTTAACTGGAGTTCACTAGATGCAGGGCCGAATTCATTTATTGTCTCATGACTTACAGGCAAAGTAGAGGCAAAATTTTCAGCAGGGGGCAAAACATAGTCGGCAGGCAAAGTAGAGTTGAGACTTTCTGTGGTAGGCAAAATATATTCTGCAGGCAGAGTAGAGTTGAGACTTTCTGTGGTAGGCAAAATATATTCTGCAGGCAGAGTAGAGTCACGTACTAGAAGTGTGTCCTCTGGCAATACTTGAGGGTGCTCTGTGGCATGTCTGTTTTCACTTTCAGAAGAACCAGAGCTATCTAAACTGTCACTCTCAGAGCTCATTTCACTAGATGTATTCTCATCACTCAATTGGGCAATAGTACTCGTGTCGAGAGCTGATCTACTTTGACTCAAGTAATCACTTATACTCGACGCAGTCTCAGTTGACTGATCACTATGAGTCACAGGTATAGTACTCACCTGGCTCGGATGACTAGAGTTTGTTGATGGACCACCCACAGGTGGACTATTTTCTTCACCTTCCTCATTTATGTTGCTTGAATTCAAAATGTCTGAATTTAAAGGAGTTGATGGAGCTGTTCCGGGCAGACTGCTCAAAGAGTTATTCAGTGCATCTTCTTGACAAACACTAAGCGTCATATACTCCGGCTCCCCTGTGCCATCACTACACAAAAATATAACCTGCTGGGTTTTGTCATTTTCTTTCACAACTTTCTCAAGAGTCGTGTCAATTTTATCAGGAACAGAGATTGTCACATTGCGGCTCTGGGAGGGTGAAGAAGGGTCTGCTAGTGCTTTAATGAGACGGAGTTGCATGTCTCTGTTACTTTCAGAATCTTCATCCAAACTGTTATTTTCAACAGGAACTGGAATGAGTTGGGCATAATTATGACTTTCTAAATGGTCAATGGAATGGACATTTTCCACAATGACTGCAGGAAATTCAGAGTCTCTTGAGGGGGCATTGTTTGAATCTTTCACTGATGTTTTGTCATTTGCTCCATTAAGTTCCACTTTTTCTGAAGGATGGCCACTTACATGGAAATCTACCTGGTGAGAGCTGTCAAATGAGGAGGCCTTCTGAGAGCCATTGCTGTAAGTGTCCTGGGGCAAATCTTCCATAGTGGAATGAGGAATCACCTTGCAACCAAGGCTTACAGGCAAAGAGACTGAGCATGGTAATGTTGCCAAGGGCAAATTAGAATTTAAAAGATCCTGAAAAAAAAAAAGTTGTTTATTCAACTTAATCAACATATGGCAATAATATTTTCCTTTCCCAGTTTTAAAACTTTTATCTTGCCTTTTGTTCTGAAGAATGAAGAACATGTTGAGTTAGTCCAGGAATTACCTCTTCGATGAAAGCAGAGGAGACATTAGAAGTGCTTTCGAAACTATTCTGGCCCACAGGCATCTCTGTTGAGAAATTGAAGATGTCCTCATTTCTTGAACTCTCTGAATAACCATCTGGTTTGTTGCTGCCAGGCACAAACTGCACACAAGAACAATTGAGACAAGTTAGAAAAAAAAATGAACTAAAAAAAATTTTTATAAATAAAATTAGATAAAAAGTTTTTACTGTGAAGTACCTGTTTCTCAACTGATGTCAAGTAGTTGTATATAAGGGGATAAGAAATTTCATTGTCTTGGCAGAAATCGGGATTTGGTAATGGGAGTGCATTTGGAACGTCAATCTGATGACTGTGAGAGACTGCCTGGTTTAGCAAAGATGTCTGGTTTTGTATCTGTTTTCCAGTGTGCACTTGCTGCCGGGTGGTTTGACTGGGCTGGTAACAGGGCTTTTTTCTGGCAGGACCTAGAGCATGTTCTACCTTCACTGATTGCTGGTATTCCGATGCAGTCTGGTGGCTAAAGCGTTGCATGTGATGACCAGGCTGGCGATTGTACAAGGTTTGTTGCTGATTGGCTGAGTGGCGGTAATGGTTTGACGGCAACGGATGAAGAGAGGAGGATGATGGAATGAACCTTTTCTGCCTCTGAGACTGTAGGGGCATTAATTGAGATTTGCAAGGAATACTTGGGGTTCTATTAGTCTTGACTGAAGCTACTGTATGGAGTAGCTGAGAAGACATATGTCCTTGAAAACTTGACTGCCTTTCCTGCCCTTGAAGATTTGTTTGTCTTGAGGAGTGTATGGATGGGTACTGTTGGTGATGGTTCTTCTGATTTTGTTGAAGCTGAAGTGGCTTCTGTTGATTTTCTAACTGAATCAGCTTGTGCTGCTTTCTTATACCCAGCTGCTGATTATATTTCTGCTCTTCAGTTTCTTGCATCCAAGGTTCCATGTGATGTTGGTGCTGCCAGGTTTGTTGATCTTGATGTGTGTCTATAGCTGATTGGTTTGTGGGGCTTACCAATGCTGGTCTTAAGTTTTCTACAGGCAGGTTGGTAGATTTATGAAATAGGGGTGGTGGTCCTTGGTTTGGATGCAACATACTGTAGAAAGAAGCCTGTTCCACTTGAAGCATTTCATATTGCGCTGATGGAGGTATTTGAAGTTCTTGTTTATACTGTCTTGATTGATGCAGAGAATCGGCAACAAGATTGGGTGTAGTGATATGTTGATAAAGAGGGTTACTTGATAGTGGTGGCATATAGGGCTGAATCAATGGGCGGGAATGATCTTGAAATAAACTAGAACGCCCGTTGCTGCTGCTGTATAAAAGAAAATAAATCATTAAAAAAAAAATTACCAGGTGCTGTAGTTACTTCATAACTTCCAACAGCTATAGCAAATTTACCTCGTAAAACTTATAGGAGTTCTGTATGAATTGACTGAGTTTGTGTTGGCTGGTCTCCAATAGGGGCTTAACTGCAGGGGCATTTGGAGATTCTCTGATTTTACATTAACAAGCCACTCTAGACTAGACGAAAAGTCCTTAAATAAAAAAAAATTAAATAATGAAAATAAAGCAGAACAAAATTGGGGGGGTGGGGGTGGGGGGTTGAAGGACACCATAGGAAACCTGATGCGAACATTTGATGGAGCAGCTGGTAAAGGAATTGGACGAACCACCTGCGAAGGTGATGGAGGTGCAAGATGGAAAGACACCTCTTCCGAACTAATCTGTTGACTCAATGGCACAAAAGATGTTTCTCCATAGCCTTCAAAACACAAAGAAAACAAAACTTGGCATGAAAAAGAAATACACAATTAAAACGTGAAATAATTATGCATTGAGAGAGATACCTTGCTCCTGAGGATATGAAAAGACCGAAGGTGCATTAACTTTGGGCTGCATGTGCTGTCCATTGTAAGGCTTGAATACATCTTGGGCAACATTTCTGTTGAAAGAATTGTTGCTAATCGGTTGTAGACTTGGCATGGGTGGTTCAGACACTGGAGGCCAGGACTTCCCTACAGAAGCGGAGGCAGTGTCAGGCACAGGCTCTTGTACAGGGTGAGCATGACCATAAGCGGTGGCGACTCTGAATCCCTCTGGTTGGCTGGCAACTTGAGGAGAATCGTAACCCCCAGCTTCCAATGTTGGACTTTGGCGGTAGACTGAGGAAGGAGACCCAGCAGGGGGGTACGTCATTGAACTCGGATGAAGAGGCGTCTGAAAAAAAGAAAATATTTTAGTCAAATTTAATAATGTATACCCCACCTCCCTTAGCTCCAATTGAACGGCGTGACTGGCCGCACCTTAGCATACACGTAGCTGCCGTCCCGCCTGGGCTTGATGACCCTGCCCGTCTTGCTCATGCGGGCCTGGTGGGGGTGCGGCTTCCCGGCTTGGCCGCCAAGGCCCTGGCCAAGGCCCTGGCCCTGGCCGAGCCCGACCGCCCTGCGCGCCGCGGCCACCGCCAGCCCGGCCTGGGCGTGCTTCATCTGCATGGGGCCCTGCGCCTCGTCCGGCCAGAACATCCTGCTGCACCCGGGCGTCGGTCCGGACGCCGGCCTGGGGGCGATGGCGTGCTGGGGGAGGCCGGCCCCCGGGGCCATGGCCAAGCCCGACGAAGTCCCCAGGGCGGGCGAGGCCTGGTGCCCCTGGGGCGGGCTGGTCGCCATGTCGTAGCTGGAGCGACGGCACCCCTTGCCGGAGGACGGCGCCATGGTCTTGCCGCCGCGGGGCTTCTTCAGCTTGCCGCTCGGGTCGTAGTCCTCGTCTCCGTCGTCCTCGACCTGGCGCAGGAAGAACAGTGCTACGACTTGACAACGCCGAAACTATCTCTCCTGTGCGGAGGGGTCGGGGGAAGTGAAGGATTTTCCCGCAGGTGTGAACAGGAAGCGACCATACTCCACGCCCACATGGCGCATGGCGTGGAGTAGCGCCACTGGGCGCAGGGAAGGCCACGGCCTGGCCACGGCCGGATGCGAGATGGTGTTGATCCGGCACTCGCGGCCAAGCAGAAACCAAAGCCTTCCGGCTCGCAGCTCGAAACGCAGTCGCGCGGGAAGTATGGGGTCCATACACTAAGCTTAGAGGACTTTGAGCTCACCGCCATGGTGGGGAACATCTCCTCGTCGTCGTCCTCGGGGCCAGGGCTGGCCGAGGCAGAGTCCGCCTCCGCCGTGGTGGTGACGTAGCCGGGGTAGGCCGGGCTGTGCCCCGCCCCGCCCTGGGCGTTCACCCTGCGGGTCTTGCTCCGCGTCTCCTTCAAGCTGCTCAGCAAGCGGTTCAGCTCGGCTTCAGCGCCGGTGTCGTACAGAGCGATCAGTCTAGCCATGTCATCTTTCTGCAGCAAAAGAAAACAGTTTGATATCAATCAGAAAATGGAAAACAATAAAACTGAGGTGCCTTCGAGGCTTGACATTTTCCTTGACGCGGAAACTAGAGTCACTTCCAGTGTGTGGGGCGAGGCGTGACGTCATTCCCTCTGACATGTGACGTTGGCCGCCGTAGCCATCAAACTCTAACCTCCATCCAACTCAACGTTGCTTCCGACACGCAACACTCTCGCTATTTCCCAATATCAGCGACAAGTTTCGCCCCGCTGGCGGCGACAGTTCATCGCTCAATCGGCTGTTTTTTTCTTGTCAGTGAAAAACAAGAACAAAAACCTGTTGCACAACGGCCCAACCCCCTGGAGCCAACCGCTCCCGAGGAAGCCCACCGCTACTGCTTTTGGACACGGGGCACTGGAGACGGTAACTTAAACTCGGCCACTTTTTAAAATTGCAAGGTGGAAAGGGTGTTGGGACAAGGCCTGGGCCCGTCGCGCCACGAGAGTCGGCCGTTGGGTCGGGCGCAGGAGTGAGGTTAGGGCTCTCGGTCCGGGGGCCGGCTCGGCCGCGTCGATGAAACAAACAACCATTTGTCACTCGGAAAGTGCCACCCAGGCACGGCACGCGACGGCACGGCACGCCAAAGCGAGCCATGCCGTCCCCGAGACACGCAGGAAACATGGGTCGCGGAAACGCGACGCCGACTCACCTTGAGGTTGGCCGGCAGCTTGCGGTCCGTGGCCATCGTTTGCACGTATTTGTAGGGGCAATCCTTGATGCGTGAGATGATCGCCGCGAGGGGCTGTCTCTGAGGCTCCGCCATCATCATGTCCCCACGGGACATCATCCTTAGGGCGGCCTTGACCTTTGACCTGGGACGTGCTCCTGCGTGCTCCAGAACTCACACCTTCTCAGCAATGACGCATCAGTCTTGGCGCCTCTTTCGCCGCTCGGCCACCTGACGCTGTGAGAACAGCCTCCCCCGGCCACGCCCCCCACCCCCGGTCCGCCCTCGCCTCGCCAGTGTTTTGTTGACGCGACGCGACGCATGGCGCGTGCGGCGACGCGGCACGGCGACCGGGAAAGGGGTTTTGAATATCTTGGCGACGAAAACAAAACCGCCGCATCCAGGGAACGCGTCGGTGCACGTCGCTGCCACTGCTAGTGTGAGTGCCCGAGGCGGCGAGGCGGGCGCAGTGCGACTTGCAAAAAGACGACAACAAACACGACGACTTGAGGCGCTGGCTGCGCTGCGGGCGAAGCAGGGAGGCGAGTGCGACGGGGACGCGTCACTGAACCTGGGGCGTCCCTGCAGCGCGCTTCAACTCGGTGATGTCGATGTCTTGCCCCATGGTGCTGCTGGCCGTGTTGTGACTCGCATTCCCAGGAGACTGGTTCTGAGAGCAGTGCGTCTCGTACCTACACGGCACGCCCCATGAGTGCGAGAGAGACAGAGCGACAAAAACGTCTCTCTGCGTCTGCCTGCAGGACGCGACGTGGCGAGCGGTCTCCGCCGAACTGGCGGCAGGGCACGGCTCCAGTCCAGGTCGGCTTGACGGACACCAAGGGCGGACTGGCTGCCCGGCGCGCTGGCCTAGAGGCTGGCCGACCTCAACCTCGACCAGGTTGCCGCTGTGTGTCGAGTCGAGTGCTCGCAGAGCGGGGAAGGCGGCGGCGGCGGGACGGCGGGGGGAGGGAGCGCTCCGAGCTGCGGCCTCGCCGCGGTTGCAGCAGTGATCGTTGTTGTTCTGGCCATAGACAGTCTTTCTCTTTCTTTTTGTGGAACGATGATAACCGACATGCGTTGAAATGCGTTTTCAGACTTGTGTTCCGATGCTTTGGTTCGACATTTTGGAAGCTTTCCCTGCCAATCGCAGTCGCTAATTCAATGCGCCAGCCGCCCGGCCAATTGGTACAGACCTTCCCGCCCCCGCCCCCCGAAAAAAGGATTGCAGAAGCAGGGGTGCGCTAAACCGGCGAAACCGGCTCCACCATTGTCTCTGCCAAACTTGGCTGGATGCTGTTCTCAAAGTCAATGCGCGGGTCGTGTCGATTCAATGAGTGCTTCTCTAGTACCCTGTTCGGCCAGGGCGGGCCGGGGCGGGCCGGGGTTAGCTGGCGTGGCGCGCGAGCAGGGCGAGCAGAGCCAGTCGGGGGCGGACTCATTCGAAATCGGGTTGACACGGTGCCGCCACGCCCCCGCCGCGCCCCCGCCACGCCCCGCACCCCTAAGCGAACGCGGGGCTGGCGCGGGGCCAGTGGCTGCGTCCTCGGCGCGCACATTCGCCGCAGCCGCGCCATTCCGCAGCATCGTTCCGTCGCTCTGTCTCTCTCGCACCGCCGCGCAACGCCCCGTGAGTGCGACAGAGAAGGGGCGACGCATCGGCCCTTCGAACGCAGCCGACGGGGGCGCGAGTGTGCGCGGCGTACTGCGTTTCGGAACCGACGCCGCCCTGTGTCAATGCCAGGGGCAGTCGGCACGCCGTGGCCCCGACCGCCGCGCCGCCCCGACCGGGAGATGGAGTGTGGCCGCCACCTTCCTGCTGCAGTGCGCCGCCCTGGCCAAGGTGGCCCTGGCGCTGGACGCCGCGCCGCCGCGCCACTGCTGCAGTCCCGAACTGCCAAACACGATCCCGCTTCCACTATTTCTCCGGCGGGCCCGGCGCGTCGTCAGCCGCAGCAGGGAAAAGGCGGCCGCGGCCGGGAATCGATCCCGGGTCCTGGGCCGGGCCGGGCCGGGCCCGTTGCAGATAAATGCTCTGCGGGGCGAGAAAGAGGTGCGATGCGATGCGATCCGCCGGCCCCACAAACTGATAGCTCACGCCTCGGCGGCCTGGGCGGCCTCGGCACCCACCGCATCCATCGCCGTGCCGCCGTGCCGTGCCGCCGTGCCCAAAAGGAGATAGCCCCGGTAAGTAATGACGGCGGGGCTCTCGCCCTGGCTTGAGAGGTAAGTGTCCGGGACCGTGCGGATCTGGCGGTCTTGGGTCCGCGGTTCGGTTCCTCTCCTCGGCCTTTGGCGGCGCTCTCGCCGCGACTTGCTTAAAGAATCCGCGGCGGCGAGGCAGCAGACTGACTTCAGTCGCCTCGTCGCTCCGTCTCTGTCGGTCTCCTGGGGCGTCCGCCGGAGGTGCGAGAGAGGCAGACAGCGACCCAGCTGCGCGGTGCTGCGCGCGCTCTCGGCGGCACGGCGGCACGCCGGGGGCAGGCAGGTGACATTTTTCACCTTCGAGTCCTCCACTAACTCAACCCCTCCCCTTTCCCCTCCCACCGCGCGGACTCACTTCTTGGGCCGGTCGCCACGTGTCGGGAAATGAGTTTCGCTGCGAATTTCCTCCAATTTCCCGTCTCGGCCCGCTGGCTGCGCGCCTCGGCCTGCTTCTCGCAGCGCGCTTTTATATCTATCAGTTTTTTGGCGGGGACGGGGAGGGGGCAGCCAAACATGCAGGGCGTTATTGACAGGCTGGATTCACGCGGCCGCACCCTCGGCAAGGCTGTGCTGGCCTCGCTGAGCAGGCCGGGCCGGGCCGGGCCGGGCCGAGGGCTCTGGTGGTCAGCAACTCCCTCGAAAACACCCATCAGTCCCCTTCTTCCTGCAGGAGCGCCCCCCTGCCCCCGGGCCGGCCAGGTCCGGCTAGGCCGGCCCCGGGCTCCAGTCCGCAGGTTGCGACACTTGGACAGAAAGACGAACGGCGAGCGCTGCTAGCGCTGCTAGCGCCCCGAACGGCCGGGGCGCTGAGTGGTGCCCTGGTACAGCCGCAGGCAAAACACATCACGACCCCGCCCCGCCGCCCAGCCCGAGGGGTTGCCTACCTCCAGGCGCGCGGAGGCACTCCTCCTCGCCCGTCCTCGTGGACCTGAAGCCTCCGTAGTCGGGAATATTTTAATCTTTTTACCTGTTGGAAAAAAAGTGAGGAGGACGTCGTGGTTACGTTGTTTGGCGTCGGCTGCTTTGTGGTTTGAATACCGGGAGGCCATTAAAACGAAACTTTTTCCCCTCTCCTCGCCTTCGCCGCCTTTGCCCTCACTGATTCCTATCTGAGCGGGAACCCGCTGGGAAGTAACGCAGATTCCGTGGCAGAGCTTAAGAGCTGAAGTTTCTCTGTGGGGGGAGGGGGGGGGGCGTCCTTGAACCAGTGGCGGCCAGCGGAGCGATTCCGGCCCGCCCAGGCCAGCGCTGCTTTCGTCGCTCTGTCTCTCTCGCACTCGCGGGGCGCTGCGTGTCGGAGGGAGGGAGACGGCTGTGCGGAATCAGTCTGCAGGGCGGCAGCAGCTGACTGAGGGAAGGAAGGGTCACCGCCGCCTTCGGGACGCTGGCGACGCTGGGCTGCTGCAGCGCCGGCCGGCCGGGCGAGGCGCACGGTTTAAGAGGCTTTGCACGCCCGCTTCTGTAATAATGTTGGTGTGCCAGCGAGCGCCTCATCGCCCTGTCTCTCTCGCACCCTTACGGAACGCCCCGTGAGTGCGAGAGAGACAGAGCGACGGAAGCGCTGTTCGGAAGCAGACGGCATGCAGGTCGTGTAGGGCCGAGTGGCGGCGGGTGTGCTGGCCTTGCTGGCCAGGCGCTCACGCCTCCGGTGGCCTCACGCGCTGAAACCCCGAAACCTCGAACCCCTGAAACCCCGGAACCCCGGAACCCTGAAAGCTGGCCGCGCCGACAGCGAGGCCCCTGGGTCGTGCCGCTGTTTGATGGGGTCGGGAGCGAAATTGATAGCAGGGAAACGGGGTGGATGGTTAGACAAAGAGGGGGTGGAGATGGAGTTGGGCAGGTGCGGGGCTGCGGGGCCTGCTGGGCCTGCTGCGGTCGGCGCGGCGTCGCCTTGGGGGTGGTAGGGGATGTGTTTGTCCAGGCTCCTGTTTCAGTCCCCTCCTGCGTGCTGTGTGTGTGGTGTGTGAGTGTATGTGTGTGTGTATGTGTGTGTGAGAGAGAAGCTCGCGGTTGTGTGCGTTTGTGTTGGGTGGGCGTGTGCGGTGTGAAAGGTGCTGGGGGTGTTTTCGCGCAAGGAAACCGACCACTGGTGACACGGCGCGTGAACGGGCACACTCTAAAGTCGCAGTGCCGTTCGCAGGCAGGTGTCAAGAACACACGGCGGGGAGGGAAACCGAGACCCCGGAAACCCGGGCCGGCGTGGGAAACGCGACGCGCGGCCTTCCTGCCGCTGACCGACCGCGGCGCTACACTATTCATGCCGCCATGGCGCGGCAGGGCGCTGCTTCGCTGCCCGCCTGCCCGCCGGCCGCGGTCCGCGGTTCGCGCGCCCGGAAACGGACGAAACGGACCGCCAACCGGACCGCGGCCCCGGAGTGCCCCGGAGTTCTCGCCGGAGTCGGGCGGCGGCGAGGGCGGCAACCGGAGCCGCTCGGAGTTGGCCGGGGAGGGCGGCGCGGCGGTTTGCTCCGAGAGTAGTGGTCTTCCGATGCGAGCCCCGGCCGAGGCCACGGCTGAGGCCCCGGCTGAGGCCACGGCCCCGCCGACCACCGGGGCCCGGACTCTCTCCCGGACTCCCGGACGCGGCCGGGCTCAAGAGCAGCGCAGCGCCCGCCCGCCTGCTGGCTGCCGGCCCTCACGCCAGGCCCCGCCGCGAACCGCACCAAAAGAAATAATTCGGCAAACTCCCACGGTTAAGCTCCGGGCCTCTAATTAATCTCCACGGCTCTTTCCACGCTGTAAGGGTATTTTCCTCTTTCACGACTCCAAAAAAAGGTAAAAAAATATTTTTTTTAGAAGCAGCTCGTGGAACCCGACCTGTATAGTATCCCAGCCCAGGCGCTCTTTGACGGGTTGCCTACCCGGCGGCCGACGGGGAGGCCAGGGGTCGGGGTGAACCCAATCCCTACAGCGACTCCTCAGCTCTCAGCTGCTTAACGACCGTGTGCCTGTCCGTCCGTCCACCCGCCCGTCCGTCGAGTCCCTCTCATCTGGCGGTGGCAAGGACACCGTGTCCTGGACACTGTTGG